GCTCTTGAGGTCAAGTTCCTTGAAGAAAAGATTAAAGAAAAAAGAATGTGATGATATTGGAAATGTTTATCAACCCTAACATTTTAGAGTTCTTTCCTTGCTCTTGAATCATCCACTTGTCACTAGATAAGCTTCTGACATTTTAAAAAATAGAAGTGAGACAGGAATAGTTAGCAACTGGAAATTATTCCATTTTACACTGTTAAATTTTTAAAATGTATTTTTCATATACATTTTTGATGTTCCAAAAAATAATTAAGGTGATATTTAACAATATTTTTAAAAAATATGCTCTCCATTTTCATCATTCTTTATAGTTATATTATTTTAATTATTCATGGGAAATAACTACATCAGTTAAATATTCCCATCTGCATTTCTTTCTTTATGAAGGGCTTGTTAGCCTTTGTAATCAGAACATGACTATTTGTTAGTAAATTATACACAGTACAAAGTTGAATTCTATACATTTTTGTTGGGAGCAAGCCGAGAGGAATTTGGGCATTCAGTAGAATGATTTAATTAAATGTCCTTTTCTGTGAATATATTTACATTTATTTGATTGATAATTAGATTTAGAAAATAGTAAAAAGTACTTTCAAATATCATACTCCTCCATCCAAAAACTGTCACTGCTAAACATGAGTGCATTATCAAATCCATATATCCCTTGAACAGGCATCGATTTATTCAGTAAATATTGGTTAAACCCTTTCTTTGGGCCAAGCACTGTTTTAAATGTTGGAGATACAGGAGTGAAAATACCCAAAGCCCTGATTTTGTGAAACTGGAATAATAGGGGTAGACCAAATAATAACCAAAATGAAAAAAAGGAAAATAAGCAGTATGTTAAATAGTGATAAGTGTTAGCAAAGAAGTAGAACAGGGAAGAGTAATAGAGGATACTGGCAGATTTTGCAATTTTACACAGGTAAAGGGCCCCAAGGAAAAAGTGACAGGTAAGTAAAGACCTAAAGGAAGACACTGACTAGTTCTGAGTAGGGAATGATATTATCTGACATGATTTTAACAGGCTAGTTCTGGTTGCTATGTAGAGAATATATTGAATGTGCTAAGGACAGAGCAGAGGAAAGATTTAGAAGTGCGGGCATTAGAGGTGGTGAAAATTTGTCAGTCTGGATATATTTGAAAGTATCAAAGAAGATGGATTGTATGTAGGCTGTGAGATTAAGAGATGAGTCATGATGCCTCTAAGTGTTTGGTTTGAGCTATTTGAAAGATGTAGTTGCTACTTGTTGATTTGGAAAACTCTGTGGAAAATTTTTTTGGGAAGACCAAGCGCTCAGTTTTAGATACACCAAGTTTGAAATGCCTAGTAAACATCCAAGTAGATGGATAGATAGATGGATGAATACACAGATACATAGATAAATACACAGATAGATACATACATAGATAAATGGATTTGTATTTCAGGGGAAAAGAATAAGCTGTAGTTTTATGTTTATGAGTCATCAATATGCAGATGATATTTAAAGCTATAGGACTCCATAAAGTAAATGACTAAAGATGTGGAAAAGTCCTGATGACTGAGTTGGTGACAGTCCACACCTAATAAGTCAGATAATGAAGAAGCAGCAGTAGAAAAGGGAGAAGCCAATGATATGGGTTTTTAAAAAATGTGTGTGTTATTCTGGAACTCAAAGAGCAAACATGTTTTCAGGAGAAGGATGTGCTTAGCAGTGGCAGATGTTGACCATATACTAAGTAAGTGAAGCATGAGAACCGACCTTTGGATTTAGCAAGGTATTTATTACTGCCTCACTGGTGACCTCAGCAAGTTCATATTCTGAGAAGTGATAGAGGCAAATGCCTGAATACAGTGGGTTCAGTATAGAATGAGAAGAGGAAAATGTGTACAGACAACATGAACACAATGAAAGTAAGGAGAGAAATGGGATAGAAGCTGGAGAAGATAATGAAGGCAGTAGAAGGATTTGTGGTTCTTTGGGGTGTGTGTTTGTGTGTGTGTGTAAGTAAAAGAACATGATTCAATATGTTTTCTTTAATCCAAGGAATTCATTTAATGTTTTTGTCTTATGAATATCTTGAGTAAATACTTTGTCCATTCTGAAGTTAAAGTTATAATATCTAGATGCAAACAAAATTTCTGAGATCAGCATATATTACTAAAATACATACATCCTACTCATATTTGAAAATTCATATCTAACATAAGCATTATACCAGATCATGTCAATAGGCAATTGTCAAGAAGTCAAATTTACAGACTGTGCCAGTATCACGAGTTTCATCAGTTATTTTTTCTTGGATTTGTATGCAGATTAAATTTCTCTTTCCAAGTGATTATTAAATTAAAAAAATTAGTTTCCCTATTACGTTCAAGACACTATGCTAAATGTGTTACATATCTTACTCTTCACTATAGGCTTACAAAATAGATTTTATTAACCTATGTTCTAAATAAGAGTCCTGGGGATCAGCAATTCAGTGACTTTCCCAAGCCTTTGATAAATATGACTGATGTAGCAGGGATTCAGTCCAGGTATACTTAGTTCCAAAATATATGACCTTCAACCTTGACTACTTTATAACATTATAGTTACTGAAAGACAGGGACTAATTTATAAGCAACACTTCTTTTGTATACTGGGTAGAACCAAGTCTAATGAGAGGCAATTAACATGACCTTACTCTTAATATAGCTGTTAATTTGTCCAAGAAAAAAACAATATATTGGACAACAAACAAAATGTTTCTCATGTTTACAATCATTAAGCAAAAAAAAAAGTAAACTAATCCAGATTATTTTTTCTTTTAAATGTCTTGCCATTATTATGAGACACTATTATGAGACATTATTTATGAGACAGTTTTAAATTACAAAGCTAAAACAAGACAAAACAAAATTTGTGCTGCTGACAAGTCAGAGATTTGGATGCAGTAGGTTGCACATCAGATGGTGTTGATTGTGCAATAAAGTCTGTGAGGAATCCAAAATTAATCTCTAGCTAGTCTACTGAGTTTCCCTAAAGGTTTGCCACTGGAGATGCAATTACCAGGACTCTTACAGTTCAAGTGTAACCAAATCCTTACCTCGAAAGAATGATGGCTTTCTGCATGCTTAAATTTTGTGCAGTTTAATTAATACCTAAAAATGTAAAGCTCCATGTCTTAGCTTCAAATAAAATCTCAAAAACAGAAATGTTAAATGTACTAGGAAAATAATTAGTAGCCCAACATTTTCTCATTACTTTAAAGAGATTTTGTGTCAACATTTAGACACATATCAGAAAAGACACAACCAGCCTCATTTTAGAATTTTGGTCTTTGGAAATCCTTGACCAGTATAATATCTATTCCACTTATTGTTTTATTCCCCTTCATTTCATTGTATTTTCCTTCTAAGTTTTAAATTTTCAGTAGTGAGAAACTGCAAACATCAACAACCTCTGGATGATAATTTTATTTTTAAAATTCTATGGATGTAGAAAAAAAACTTATGGTTACCAGGGGATAAGGGGGGGGGGATAAATTGGGAGATTGGGATTGACATATACACACTACTATTTATAAAATAGATAACTAATAAGAACCTGCTTTGTAGCACAGCGAACTCTATTCAATACTCTGTAATGGCCTATATGGGAAAATAATCTAAATAAAAAAGAGTGGATATATGTATATGTATAACTGATTCACATTGCTGTACACCTGAAACTAACAAAACATTGTAAATCAGCTATACTTCAATTAAAAAAAAACTCTTATTCCTGTATGATATAAAAATACATTTTACTGAGATACTTAAATGGTAACATGCCTGAAGTTTATAATTTAAAGGTCTATTATACATAATTCATATTTATCATTTATACATGGCCCCAGTGGTACTATAGAAAAGAATATGATTTCCAGTTGCAAAGAAATGGTTTTGAATTTCATATTTGCCACATATGACCTACATGAACTTGTAAAAGGTCTGTATTTTTCATTTCCATATGTAAATAAAAGTTAATATTACACGAGTAATAGGCTGGTCATAGTGTTATAATTACTAAATAAGAAAGTATTATTATCTTCTTGGCAATTAAAAGCAAGTAAACAATTTCTTCTCTTTTCCTCTTATCTAGAAACACAGCTAGAGCATAGATAAATGGAATCAGTGATTGAACTTTAATTTTAGAACAACAGAAAAAAACTTATTCAACCTGTCTGTAAAGTAAAATAAAGATATGTCTTATTAAAAATGTCAATCTTTCTCATAATAAATTGAAATACTAATGTTTTTTCAAACTTTAGGAAAACTGAAAATGACTGGAATATTGTACATACACATGTATATCTACAATACACACATATATTTGTTTTTTTAATTTTGTAACCTAGGAAGTATATATCTTATCTTTCCTTAGTGAAACATTGATATGTGATATGAATATAGAGGAACAGCATATTAAGCAAGACTTTTTTTTAGGAACTTAAACATTGTAGTTTTGAAATGAGTTAACTTTTCATAAAAAGTGAAATGGTTATATTTCAAGACAGTTAAATCAATTATAAATAATTTTCAAATGACTAGATTTTATCACATATGCTAAATATTACTTTTAATAACTTTGGGGCCTTTTGCTTGCTGTTTTCTACAAACACTATTAAGACTGAAAATTTGAATATGCAAGGAAGTGCATGAATAGAAAGACATTTTGTCATGTAGGCTGAGAAGGTGAGCACTAAAATTTTACCTGCTGCCAATGGCCAATGTTAGGAGGAAAACCAAAACCTAATAATTATTAGCTACCATTTAAATTGAGTATGAAAATTCAATGAATATTTTCTACTGAAACAAAGTATATAAAGTATACTTTAAAGTATATTATAAAGTATCCATACCACTCATCTTAAAATTAATATTAAAATCCAGAAATACATTTTGGTATTGCCTTATCAGCATTAAGCAAGTGATCAGTAATCTTTGGGGCAAAAAAGAGAATTTTAAATAAATAAATGAAACTCACCTTGTCCACAATACATATCTGCTTTCTGGTTTGAGCATCAAGTATTTCAATCTCAAAGTGAGTAGTTTTTGAATGTTTAACTGCTGGAGTTGATCTTAGAGGGCCTGCTGAGAGTATAAATTGCGACAAAGAGTGAAAATTTCTCAGGTCATTCTTCAGTATGGACCGTGTAGCTCCTGGGGAAGTTAATTCTCTCTTGCGTTCTGAAGCAAGGAACTTGTGCCTTTTGAACATTGTGTGAACTACCAGGAGAATCTGTCTTGTCAACAGGAGACACTTGCAAGTGTGTTCCCTTCAAACAAGTTAAATACTGCTGGTGAAACCTGGAAAGGTCAAGTGGCATGCAATTCCAAGAGTTCAGTTTTATTTAGCAGGCTTGAAAACAATGACTGATCTCTTTCTATATATAACACACTATTGTGAATTGCTGCAATGTAGATTACTTGACCAGCATTGGAATTATTTCTAGCTTTCTCCTTTTATCTCTGCTTCTTAATATGGCCAGTAGTATCTGAAATTCCAAAGTAAGATAAGAATAGACAAGAGTTTTATCTCTGAATTCTGGATACACTAATCTTTAAACACATATATTATTATTCACACATTCACATGTAGATGTATTTAAAATTAGCTTATTGCTATCTTATAGTTAAATTTTAAAATACCTAGTACATTATTACATAACAACATTTTTTGGTAAATGCTGCCTAGGATAAAGATTTGTGCCATGTTTTGAATGCACACATATACATCTGATAGAAAGCAGACAAGTTCTTCATTCCATACAGGGAGTAGAAAAATGGCAAATCATCTATGAGATTGGAATATATAGAGAGGAACTTTATAATTTAAGGAAAAGGAAGTAAACCTTATTTTAACATTTTTATGCACATTACATCATAAGGAGATCATTAAGTTTATATACAAAATCAGTACTAAACATCACATTTATCACAAAACTAGGTTATGGCAAATTCAAATAATCTCAGAATGAACACTGAAAAGTGATAAACAAATTAGAAAGAAGGGTTTGTGAAAGATTCCTGGTACTCTGAGACCTGTAAATCTGATGAAGGAACAACTGACAAAAATCCAAACTGCAGTGTCACTGATTCAAAGGAATATTACAGGAAAATATTCTGGGATGTTATTTTCAATGAAAACATGAAAAGGGAAATGGCTACAACAGTAGATGGGGAAATCTAAATATCTACATTAAACTAATCTTTACTTTTATAATTAAATAAAATAATGTAGTTTTAAAAATTTGGACTACACATTATGTGCTGGAGATTCACTTACACATTGTTCAGTTATCATTTTCCTACTCTAGACCACCAGCACACTCAATATTTATTATTAAAAATAGAAGATGGATGTATGTGTATATATACTTGCATGCGCGCGCACACACACACACACACACACACACACACAGTCAATTTTATCACCCCAGTTGTTCAGGACTTTAAACTTGGGATTACCCTTAACATTTCCCTTTCTCCCACACCTAAGATCTAATCCATCAGAAATCCAGAACACAATCTTGTCACCATCTCCATAGCTAACTTCAAAGCATCAATCTCACCTGTATTGCTTTTCCAAACTGATCTCCCTTTGTCAATATTGTTCAATTTATAGTCTCTTTATAAGGCAACAGCTAATGATCAATCCTTATATTAAAACAGGTAATGCAATTATCTGCTTAACGCACTGTTTGGGGATTCCTATTTTATGTAATGAAAAAGCCAAATTTCTCTGTAAACGTCTACAAGGCTCTGCATCATCAGCATTTTTTTTTTTTTTTTTTTTGCGGTACGCGGACCTCTCCCTGTTGTGGCCTCTCCCGTTGCGGAGCACAGGCTCCGGACGCGCAGGCTCAGTGGCCATGGCTCACGGGCCCAGCCGCTCCGCAGCATGTGGGATCTTCCCGGACCGGAGCACGAACCCGTGTCCCCTGCATCGGCAGGCGGACTCTCACCACTGCGCCACCAGGGAAGCCCCATCAGCATTTTTTAATATCTCTGGTCTCATCCTCTAATCTATCCACAGTGCTCAGAACAGTGTCTGGCACACAGCAGGTGCCTAATACATATGTATTAAACAAATAATCAACTAATAAATAATCGATCAATAAATGTATCTTAACGGTGTAGGCAGAATGATGTAAATTAATTGCATGCTGAGGTAAACTACTAGCACATTATAGCAAGGTAACATAACTGTGCAACCCATATAATATAATCTTCAGAGATAGTTTCTATTTAAAAAAAAAAAAGAAGAGAATAGTTGAAGGACACAGGTGCCAAACTGCAAGAGCTCCCATTGCCAACACTGGAATAATTCAAGTAAGAACATAAATACTGATGATAATATATTCTAACTCAAAGAACAGTGTAAATATCTGTGAGTCCATACTGTTATAAATAAGTGATTGAATAAATAATAGATAAATTGGGACAAGGGGTGAAATTTTCATATACAAGAATTGCAAATTATATATAAAAATCTCCCCTTGAATGTGGGTTTCATTTAAGTAACACAGTGAATGGAAGTGGAAAATAGAAGCTTTATGGTGGAAAAACCTGGCAGGCAAACAGCATTTTAACCTAGAGGCCAAGTCTAATATCACCACGAAGAGTCATGCTGATATCATGTACCAACTGATATCATGAGGTGAGGGCACTTCACCTCTGGGGTATTCTTCCAAAAGTTTATTACCTCAGTCTAACCATGAGAAAATATCAGACAAACACAAATTGAGGGATGTTCTACAAAAATACCTAATATTCTCTCAAACTGTCAAGAATATAAAAAATGAGGAAAAATTGAGATACTGTGGCAGATCAAAAGAGACTATGTAAAGACATGAATAAAAATGCAATGTGGGGCTTCCCTGGTGGCGCAGTGGTTGAGAGTCCGCCTGCCGATGCAGGGGACACGGGTTCGTGCCCCGGTCCGGGAAGATCCCACATGCCGCAGAGCGGCTGGGCCCGTGAGCCATGGCTGCTGAGCCTGCACGTCCAGAGCCTGTGCTCCACAATGGGAGAGGCCACAACAGTGAGAGGCCCACGTACTGCAAAAAAAAAAAAAAAAAATGCAATGTGGTATCCTGATTGTTTTCTGGAAGAGAAAATAAATGAATAGAAAATCCAGTAAAATAGGAATAACATCTGAAGTTTAATTAATAGTATTATACCAATATTAATTTCTGAGTTTTGACCAAGGTTATGCAAGATGTTAAGATAGGGGAAACTGAGTAAAAACTACACAAAAAACTTTCTTTTCAATGTTTTTGTAAAATTATTCTAAAGTAAAAGGTATGAAGTAAACATATACTGATACATGCAAAAAAAAATGGCATTATTTAAAAGGAGAAAATTGTAGATTTTTGTCTGCTGGTCACCTAAGTTAAAAATTTTGGAAGAGAATAAAAAACATTTCAGATATTATGCTATTTATTGTTTCATTTTGTATTTTGAAATAGCTTTAAAAATAAAATGTTTTATATATGCTAAGGTGTTCTTTTAAGATTATTGCTAAATACATCATAATGAAATTAATACCATGAATTACTATTTGTTTAATACTAGACCTGGCATACCACTTTAAACTAGATTGCAGTTTAAATATATTTATAATAGAAAACTATTATAAAACAATGCAGCATAAAACAGGAATCTTTATTCCAATTGCATTTACTTACAGTAAAATGTGAAGAGGGGGGCTTACAATATCATTTTTCTTTATCCTCATATTTTTCATTTTTTTGACAGAAAGCATATCATTTCAATTTATTTTCCATTTGAAGTGCTACTTCTTATGAGATCATTTAAAATAATTAATAGACATTTTTAGAGCAGTTTTAGTTCAAACAAAAATTGGGCAATTAAAAGTGCGGAGTTTCCATATATTTATTCTCTTCCTTCCCAATACACTATACATCCTATTATTATTATCTTGCATTAATGTGAAACATTTGTTACAATTGATGAAACAATATTGATAGATATTTATGAATTAAAGTCCATACTTCATTTTAGAGTTTAGTCTTGGTGTTTTAGGACTAAACTAAAGTTCTGTGACTTTTGACAAATGGATAAATTCATGTATCCACCATGATAGCATCATACAGAATAGTTTCACTGACCTGAGAGTGTCCTGTGCTCTACCTTTTCATCCCTCTCTGCACTCCTTCTGAATTCATGGCAAACACTGATATTTTTACTGTCTTTGTAGTTTTGCCTTTTCCAGAATATCATTAGTTGGAATCATACAGTATGTAATGTTTTCAGACTGGCTTCTTTCACTTAACAATATGCATTTAAAATTAGAGCTTTTTTAAAAATCACTGAATAATACCCCATTATATGAATGTACCACAGTTTACTTATTCATTCATCTATTGAAGGACATCTTCGTTGTTGCCATGAACATTTGTGTTCAGGTTTATGTATGAGTATAATTTCAATTTATTTGGGTAAAGAACTAAGAGTGTGATTGCTTAATTGAACGGTAGGCCTATGTTTAGCTTTGTATGAAACTGTCAGACTGCCTTCCAAAATGGTTGTACCATTTTGCATTCCTACCAGCAGTGAATGAGAGTTCCTGTTGCGCCACATCCTCCACAGTGTTTGGTATTATCACTGTTGCTGGAATTTGGCCATTCTAGTAAGTGTGTTGTGGTATCTCATTGTTTAAATATGCAATTCTCTAATGAAAAATGATGTAGAGCATCTTTTCTTATGCTTATTTGCCATCTGTACATCTTTGGTGAGGTGTCTGTCCAGATCTCTTGTCCATATTGTAATTGCTTTTTTTCCCCCTACTGTTGATTTTTGAGAGTTCTTTTGTATTTTGGATATAAGTCCTTTATCATATATGTATTTTCCACATCCCTTCTACCTGTTTGTCTTATTTTCTAATTCTCTTAAGAGTATCTTTTGCAGAGCAAGGGTTTTAAATTTTAATGAATCCAACTTACCACTTTTTCTCATTCATGGACTGGGCTTTTGGTGTGTTGTTTTCTATAAATTGTATTGTTTTGCATTTTACATTTATGTCTATGATCCATTTTGAGTTAATGTATGTGAAAGATAAAAGGTGTGTGAATAGATTCATTTTCTTTTTGCATGTGGGTTTTGAGCTGTCCCAGTACCATTTGTTGGAAAGACTATCCTTTCTCCACTGACCTGCCTATAATTGCTTGATTATACTTGTGTGGGTCTATTTCTAGGCTGTCTATTCTGTTCCACTGATCTATCTGTCTATTCTTTTGCCAACACCACATCATCCTTATTATGGTAACTTCATAGTAAGTCTTAATGTCTGGTAATGTTGGCC